AGACCACCAGTATCACCTAGTTGCCAATCTATTATCATGGAATCAGAAAAACGGAGCCAGCCCTGTGGTATAGCAGGTATAGCTTATACCTGCAGCACAGGCATCCCACATGGGTGCCAGTTGGAGTTCCGGCTGCTCCACTTCCAATCCAGTTCCCTGCTAATGCTGCTGAGAAAGCTGTGCAAGATGGCCCAAGTGCTTGGACCTCTGCACCCACGGAGACCTGGAAGAAGCTCCTGTTTCCTGGCTTCAGATCAGTCCAATTCAGGCCGTGGTGGCCATTTGGGAGTGAATCAGCGGTAGATCTGTCTCTGTCTCTCCTCTCTCTCTGTCATTCAAATAAATACATCTTTAAAAAATAATTTTACAAAAAGTCATCATTCAGGGATAATGCATTAAAACTATTAGAAAAAAAAAACAGCAAAAGTATAAGGGCAGCCCATTTGTCTCCACATATGAGCTTAAAGTATATTGGAAGTAATAAAAGTGATATAGAATATGAATTAAGCATTTAGAGTCTGGCACCACATTGCTATCTTCAAACCTTGGTTCAGCCATTCAGTAACCTTGAGCGAGTTTATTAATTTATTGGTACCTCAGTTTTCTGATCTATATATGGAGATACTAGTTACCAATCCCATTAGGTTATCACAAATATGAAATGACCTTACACATTAAAAGCACTTAAAATAGTGCCTATCATCATCTACTAAATCTCAAAGGTCTTATGCTTGTGACACATTGGAGAAACAGATTAATAATGCAGGAAAATAATACTGGCGGAAAAAGGGGCTTTCTTGTTAAACATTAATGAACATCGGAGCCATCATTGTTGCACAGCAGGTAAAGCTGTCTCCTGCAAGACCAACATCCATGTGGATGCTGGTTCTGTCCCAGCTGTTTCACTTCCAATCCAGCTCCCTGCAAATGGCCCAGGAAAACAGGGGAGGTTGGCCCAAGTGTTTGGACCCCTGCCATCCACATGAGAGACCAAGAAGAAGCTCCTGGCTCCTGGGTTCAGCCTGGCCCAGCTCCAGCCACTGTGGCCATGTGGGAAATAAACCAGAGGACGGAAGATAGATCTTTCTCTTTGTAACCCTGACTTTCAAATAATTAATAGATTTAAGAAAAATCAATGACCATCAAATCTATTGTGCTACTACGAATATAATTTAGCACTGAGGGTTTGTGGATTGGAATAGTTTAATTTTATATCTAACATTTGCATCACATCATTTAATCGATCACAGTGCTAACTGTGAAAGCTGATTTTGTGAGGACACAATTATGCCCTAAAGAGTGAACGCTGTCATGAACCACAAGTAACTATATCATATGACTCCTTATTTTGCTTCACATAACAACCTTTACATTCTGAAAAACAAAACAAGAGGATTTGTAGTAAGAGCTACTATTTATTAATCTAGAAGGATATATATATATACTTATATATATATTTGTCCCTAAAACTTAAGACAGCTGCTAAATTGACATGTGACCTAAGCCAACAAATCATACTTAAGGGCAAGACATTTAGTTCAGCAATTGCATTGCCCTCCTTCCTCATTTGAGGACCTGGCTTTGGTGCCTACCTGCAACTTCCTACTAATGCAGCGCCTGGGAGGCAGCAGTCATGGCTCTAGTATTTGGGTTTTGCCACCCACATGGGGCACTTGAATCGGTTAGGCCACCCCTTTCCCAGCCTTTGTGGACATCTGGGTAGTGAACAAATAAATGAGAGCTGTCTTTTCTGTGTCTGTTGTGCTATTGTTCTATTAGTGTCTCTCTCTCTCTCTCTCTTTCCCTTCCTCCCTCCCTCCCCCCTCCCTCCTTCTCTCTGCTTAACAAATAAAATACTTCAAATATGTAAGAAAATGGTTCAGAGATGCAGAGAAAATCAAATATCCAAAGACAGAGTTGGGGAAGGAAAGAAATTCAGGACTATGAATATCTATTAACAATCTTCACAAAAGGCCTTTATTACAAATTCCACAGATAAGAATCCAAGGCTCAAAAAAGCTATAGAACTTACCACTTTGTGGAACTGGTAAACAATTTCCTCTTGAATAAATAAGCTAAAAGAGCAAAGGATCTTTTTTTTTTTTTCATTTAGAATAGAAACGTTATGTTTGAAAAAGATGAACCCTTCCTCTTAATCTGTATCTTTCCTTGATGTGGTTACTTAGAAAGCACAACACCACACACTTACAGGGACCTATCATGTTTAAAACAAAAGGCTAAGCAATACCAAAAAAAAAAGTTAAAAAAAAAAGTAAAATGCATTTCAAACATCATTGCTAGCCCTTCTTTGCTAATGTCAATAAATCAGGGACACTTTATAGCACATTAAAAATTGAAAACTATGCCAGCATTTTGCAAGCCCAGTAGGTTAAGCCGACACTTGTAATGCCAGTATCCCATATGGGAGAACTGATTGAAGCCTTGGATACTTGGCTTTTGAATTATCTTCCTGCTAACGCACCTGGAAATGCAGAGGGTAAGAGCCTAAATACTTGGGCCTCTACCATGCACATGGAAGACAGGGATAGAGTTCCTGGCTTCAGTCTGGCCCAGCCCCGGATGTTGTGGGCATTTGGGGAATAAACCAACAAATGACAGATCCCTCTCTGTCTCCCTCTCTCTCTGTGGCTCTGTCTTTCAAACAAACAAGCCTTTCTTTCTTTCTTTCTTTTTTTTTTTTATTCACCAATGAATTCCCAAACTCTAGATTAACCTGCTTCACATAATTAGATCATGTTTAACCTATTTGATAAGTTTGCTTACCACAATGTTTTCTTTCCCAAAGCAAATAAGATTACTGTTTGTGCAAACTGGCACCTCTGCATTTGTATGTAACATATGGCATAAGAGACAATTTGAGATCTGCGATAATTACAGTCACTGAACACATAAAATTATATTAAATGCCTGTAAGATTTTCAAAATAAGCACTAGTCCTCTTTAAATTCTTCCCCAGAAGGGATGATCAGTATTCAATGGTAAAAATGGCAGAAACTGGCATCACAGGAGGCCAGATGCATTAACAAAATAATGTATCTTCACTAAGGTATTGTGTACGAAATCTTGTATTTTTTTCAGAGCTGATAATGATGGTATTCTGCTATGATCATAGTTTTGTGTTCTTACAAAATAATAAATTATAGTGCATACTGAACAATTCAGTGATCTCTCTCCATTAATACAAGACAATCATTGAAATTTAAATTGCATATGATATTTCTTTTTCAAAACTTACCTCTTTAGTAAATACTAATATTTAACATTTATGGACAAAATCTTTAAAAAAACATAAAATTTTCTTTATTTTCCATAATTATTAGGATCAAAGAGGAAGTATACCCTCTCTGTATCTACATATACTTAGCAAAATTACACAACGTCCAACTTCTACCAATAAAAACATCCCAACAGCTACTAGGATCATCTTAGACTCCTCATATACTTGATCAAGATCCAAGAGGCATGGAGAGAACTGTGGATTAAGAGAAAGCATCAGATCAAAAATGATATTCAAGTATATTATAATCATATAAATAACCCTACCAGTAATGATATAAATTCATGTTGAACTATTTGATTTGAAAATTAAATTTACTTGATATTCTGCATGCTTTTTCATTCTGGTACCAAATATTTATTTACAAAAACAAGTGGAAATATGTAATTCTAGCCTAAATATCATAGTGTAAGTCCTGCAGTAATTTCCCTTAGAAAGCTAGGAACACTGAAACTTAATTGTTAAACTAAATTACATGAAAAGCATAATTTTTTAAAATTTTAAAGTTTTAGGTAAATGGAGGCAAAATAGAAAAAACACAGTGTTTGCTGGAAAAAGGATATGCTTTTGTAACTAAGATTAGAAGACATGTGCTTATTAATGTAAGGAAGAGTTCTTATAAAGACAGATTGCAAATATATTGAGTTAATAAGTAGAGTAAATATAAACATTAGCTATTTGGAAATAATTTTAAGTCAACATAATATGAAAAGTAACACCTAAATTATGTCTTAGTTTTCATTATGTCGGGGAGACACTTTCATTTTAAAATGCTCAAATGGCAATACCAGCACAAAATCAGTATTTTTTTCACGTATACACAAATGTGTTGTCAGTCCTTCAAATTATAACCACACACACAGTGCTCAAGTATTAAAATAAATCTCTACGTGTAGCTAGAATCAGTGCTTAAGAGTTTCATATGTCTGATCTTTTGATAAAATTTAATTTGACCTACGGGGCTAGGATAATTGCTTAAACTCTTCTTAAATGTTCAGTTTTCCTTATTAAATACATTACCTTTGGCAAGTCATATAACTTCTCTAGGCCTCGTTTTTGTAAATGAAAATGTAAAGGAAAAGCATTTTAATAATATGTTGAGTCACTTCCAACTCTAAAATTATGTCACCTAATATATAGGTATTAAGTACCTTTAGATATATAAACACTACGGATCTCAAAATAGTACTACAAAATTCTAATAACCACATATGTTGAAGGGTTGGGTAAAAATTAGTCATTACACATAATCCAAAATAATTTCCATCCTTACATATTTATTTTAATATGGACCCTTAAGAAGCTATCTGCTTAGGGGTAGCCATGTGACCTAGCAGCTAAGATGCTCCTGTCCCATAGGGGGAGTGCCTGGGTTCAACACTTAGATCTGGCTGCTGACACACACTTCCCACTAATGCAGAACATGGAGGCAATGGTGAAAACTTAAGTGGTTGGGTTACAACCACCTACATGGGATACCTGGACTGAGTTTCGGGCTCAGAGCTTCCATCAGCCCCATTCTGGTCATGCAGCTATTTGGGAAGAGTATCTACAGATGGGAGTGCTCCCTAGGCCTTTCTCTGTCCCTCCCTCTCTCTCCTGCCTCCCCTTTCCTGTCCCTTCCTCTCTGCTCCTCAAATAAATAATAACTTTAAAAATATATCCATCTTGCTTTTTCTCCTTTCCTCCGCCACCATGGTGGGTGTTCCTGACTCTTCCTCGCCATGTCTTCTCACAAGACCTTCAGAATCAAGAGGTTCCTGGCCAAAAAACAAAAACAAAACCGCCCCATTCCACAATGGATTCGGATGAAAACTGGTAATAAAATCAGGTATAACTCCAAGAGGAGACATTGGAGAAGAACCAAGCTGGGTCTATAAGGAATTGCACTTGAATGGCGTGCTCATTTCTTCTGTCTCAATGTCACTATCACCACATCAAGCTGAAAATGTCACCATCATCTGGACAGCTGGACATGTTTGATTAGGGCTGTGACCAGTGGGCTGGTTCAGTAATAAATATGTGAGCCCTTTAGAAAAAAAAATATATATCCATCTTAGTGCATTTAAAATATGGTTTAACTTAGGACTCTATAATATGCACAGATTTTTTTCATAATAAATCAACCTATTTGTTTTACATTTGAGGAAAATATAAATTAAAATGGTTAAGCAGATGATCTAACGTCACAAGATAGCAGAAGAGCTATGAGAAGGTTCTAGATTTTTTAGTTCTATGCCTAATACTCTCTGTATCTCATGTCCAATAAAGTGTGGTTTTGTCTCTAATGTTGACAAGGATGTCTTTGGTAGTGATTGTATTAACATAGCTAAATTTTATAAAATGAGAAAGTCTATGATGGTGATTGTGTTAAGTACTATTTAATTTTGTGGAGAAAGTTAAAGTGACTCTATTGATGTCTTTATCAGTTATTTGCTGCTACTAAAAATGATTCAAGTTTCACTAAAAACAATTATAACAATTTCTTTAAATGAATATAGAAGTTAACATTTTCTTTTAATTCCCTCTCACAAAAATATATCACAGCTTAAAGAGTGGGAAAAATCAAACACTAGACTATTTTCAGTGGTTAACCATTTTCAATCATCAGGCTATGTTGAGAAAATATACTCACTTGAAAGAAATCCAAACTAATCAAAGGATTCTTTTAGAAAAATGTATATTCCTTGTGAGTTATACTTGTGTGAAGAATAATAAAGCTGAGGGGATGTTAAATGATCTTATAGAGGAAATGCCATCCTTGTGCAAAAGAATTAAACTTTGTTTGAGCCGCATCCAAGGAGGAAGTAACTGTCACAAAGAATTGAAAACATTTCTCTCCAAGCCAGCAGACAAAGGGCAGCTAACTGCACCCAAGAGGACTCCAGCAGCAAGAGAACACAGACAATGCAGCAACAGATGCTAGAAAGACAGCTGCCACCTCTGCGATCACAGCCGTGGGTGTATTTCTCAGGGGAAGCAGAGCACCAACTATTGGAAGCATTTACCAGTGAAGACCTCTAAAAGGCCAAGTCTTGAGCAAATACACAACCTAATTTATATTACTATTCCACAGTAATTATTAGGAACAAGTGTCTTATCAGAAAAATAAAAGGAATGAGCTAAGTTTGGCATGTAATATATATAGGTAGATGTGACTAAAACAGAAACCCTCCTTTTAGTCATATATTTATAGCTATTTCAAATATCGTAGACTAGGGAAAAATCTTGAGTACCCAAGGGGTCTCCATTTTAGCTTCTCATAATCTTTTGTCTACTGTTTTCATTACAGGGTTTAGGTTAAATGGCTTTTTCAATCAACTGTTTATAAGATTCAGAATTCTAAAACCCCATTAAGTGATATTATGTATTGCTACCCAGACTATATACTTCTATTCATATATAAATAACTTTCTGAAATATATAATGAACGAAACCAGATGAACATCAGCATCTGAGTTCTACATTATGTTACTGGTATTGAGTGTGTGTGTATATTTTTATATTTTATTATATTTGATATGTATACAATACATAGCATTTAAGACAAATTTCCCGGGGCCAGTGCTGTGGCGCAGAGGGTTATAGCCCTGGCCTGAAACGCTGGCATACCATATGGGCACCGGTTCTAGTCCCGGCTGCTCCTCTTCCGATCCAGCTCTCTGCTATGGCCTGGGAAAGCAGTAGAAGATGGCTCAAGTGCTTGGGTCCCTGTACCCACGTGGGAGACCCGGAAGAAGCTCCTGGCTCCTGGCTTCAGATCGGCGCAGCTCCAGCAGTTGCAGCTATCTGGGGAGTGAACCAGTGGATGGAAGACCTCTCTCTCTGTCTCTACCTCTCTCTGTAACTCTGTCTTTCAAACAAATAAAAAATGACTCTTTAAAAAAAAGACAAATTTCCCACAAATTCTAGCATTTTTTTTGTTTTTTAACTTTTATTTAATGAATATAAATTTCCAAAGTACAGAATATTGATTACAATGGCTTCCCCCCCATAACATCCCTCCCACCCGCAACCCTCCCCTTTCCTACTCCCTCTCCCCTTCCATTCACATCAAGATTCATTTTCGATTCTCTTTATATACAGAAGATCAGTTTAGCATACATTAAGTAAAGATTTCAACAGTTTGCTCCCACACAGAAACATAAAGTGAAAAATACTGTTTGAGTACTCGTTATAGCATTAAATCTCAATGTACAGCACACTAAGGACAAAGATCCTCCATGAGGAGTAAGTGCACAGTGACTCCTGTTGTTGACTTAACAAATTGACACTCTTGTTTATGGCCTCAGTAATCACCCTAGGCTCTTGTCATGAGCTGCCAAGGCTATGGAAGCCCCCTGAGTTCACTGACTCTGATCATTTTTAAACAAGGCCATGGTCAAAGTGGAAATTCTCTCCTCCCTTCAGAGAAAGGTACCTCCTTCTTTGATGACCCATTCTTTCCACTGGGATCTCACTCGTGGAGATCTTTCATTTAGGTTTTTTTCCCCCTCAGAGTGTCTTGGCTTTCCACGCCTGAAATACTCTCATGGGCATTTCAGCCGGATCCGCATGCCTTAAGGGCTGATTATGAGGCTTAATACTTTTGGTTGAATACTGTAATCAATACACAATTCTTCTTAAGTGCTGAAACTTAACTGAAAAGTGATCGCTGTTAAATGTAAGAGTGGGAATAAGAGAGGGAAGAAATGTGCAATTCGGGACATGCTCAAGCTGACTTACCTCAAACGGTAGAGTTAGAAACATACCAGGGGATTCGAATTCAATCCCATCGAGGTGGCATGTACCAATGCCATCTCACTAGTCCCAATGATCTATTTCTGTTCACATTGATCGTAATGATAGGACTAAGAACCAAAGGGATCACATAAACAAGAATAGGTCTGCAAATACTAGCTGATAGAATCAAAAAGGGAGAGAATGATCCAACATGGGAAGTGAGATACACAGCAGACCCATAGAATGGCAAATGTCCTCATAGCACTCTGGCCTCATAAATTCTAGCATTTTTATAAAGGAAAAATCTAATACTGCTTATTTACAAATAAATAAGTGAATTAAAAACTTTTTGTGAAACATGCTACATGTGCCAGGAAACACCAATTCAGAACTCAATTTACATTACAGATTCTTGTTTAATTTTTTTAAACCTAAACTCTATTTTTATAATTTTTGTTTTGTTTATTTGAGAGGCAAAGAGATAGAAACAGACAGAGCTCCCATCTCTCTGCTTACCCCTGGAAGGCCTGACTCCTGCAATGATCATGGCTGGGCCAGCCCAAAGCAGAGATCCAGGAACTCAATCCAGGTTTCCTGTGTAGGCCCCAGAGACTTTGCCAGTAAACTACCACCTGTGGCCTCCCAGGGTGCACATTAAGAGCAAATCAGAATGGGGAGTGGAGTACTCAGGTGCTAGGATAGGACTGGCATCCTAACAGCAAGGCCAAATGTCAACCCCTCAGATTCTTGTTTTTAACAAATGTCAATAAGAAACTTAATAAAATCTATCAGCATAACAAAAACGTGCCTACATTTATTTTGCACTTCTTTCATAACAGGATCATTCATTTAATTGCATATTTATCACTTTATCTAAACTCACTGCGCAACTTCCTCATCTTGTTAGATTGCAAACAATGTCCAGCCCATCTCATTATGTACACTGTGCGAAAGATGAGAGGATGAGAAGCAGGCCAAGAACTGAACACGTATTACTTCATGATATCCTCAGCCTCCTCAAGATAGAGCTGAATGAGTGATGTAGAATGAAAAATGTTCAGTATGATTCCTCTTCTGGTATAAAGGGTGACTGCTTGCTCTGACTCATCTTATTTCTGTCAATATTTAAGGAAAAATATATGGAGAGAGACATCAAATGTGGCATGGCATTATCAGCAACCTTTTTTTTTTCTCTTAACAAAATGAAAATGAATAATAGCTGGATCTTGTTTTTGCAGCAGACACCACAATTACACGCTAAGTCAACCTAGGAATACATAATCACAAGGAGCAATGACTAACAGCAACACACAAACTATAGGAGTTTCAAGAGGATTATGCACCCTTTTTTTGTAGCATTAGCAAGTCAGTTCAAAAGTTTAGGCACCTCCTTGAAATTCTGTTGGTTTCATGGACAAGAATCTCTGCTCCTCTGACAGATTCTAAGCATCAGAACTCTGACATAACATTCAATCATACTTAAGGTTGATTTGAATAACATCCTTTATGGTCTGTGATATCACAGATTTGGTTAAAATGTTAAAGGAAAAATGGGCTCTTGGGGTTCATGCTCCTGAAACACAATTAAGGCTGTCAAGATGCACTATGCACTGTCATGGCTGCCTATTCCTCCCATCCACCACTGCTGTGCTCCCGTACATGTTCTTGCCTACTCATTTATTCTCTTGCAGGAGGCTGTTCCTTCCACGTGGATCTTAGATGTGATACATTAACACCTGTCATGGTATCTGCCTCTTCAGATTTGTAAACACATTTCTAAGCCTGCTGTGTGCATCACACTTACTTCTGTTTTACATTTAACACTTTATTTACGTACATTCAGAATTTGGCCTATTCTAGGCCCCTTACCCCATCCCCTCCAAGAGACCTTACTGAAAATGTTTTCATAGAACCTCACAATAATATTTCTGTCACTTTCATCCCTGGTTCACAACCAGTGTCAAAAGTCATCGGTTTTCATGAAAATATTCACAATAACCAAATTATTCCTATTCATTCATTTATCATGTAGTCAACATATATATGTATTGAACATACGACAGCAATGAAGAGGCAGGGAAGTTTTAGTCAAATGTCATCTTTAGCATTCTGGATCTGTCACTCACTACCTGTGTGAACTTGGCCTGCTGCCTAAGTTCTCTATCCTTCAATTCCCTTGTTTATAAAATGGAGATATTAGTAGGCTGTACTCACCTCTGAGTGTTTCTGTGCACATTAGGGGGTTAATGATGTAACATCCTCAGAATCATAACCGGCATATAGTGAAACTTTGATAAATATTAGTTATTACTCGGTATCAAAGAGTGGTACCAGGAATTAGGATAGATGTGGCTCTTCAAAAAAAGAAAAGGGGGCTATGGTCTCTGTGGAGTTTACAAACTACAGATGGGGACAGGAACTAATGAGATATGGAAGCAAGATGGATAGCTGGAAAACAATCCTATCACACATGAAATTACACTGCCAGGAAACACACAGTTCCAAGTGTATGCAATCGCATGGGAGAAAAGGCAAGCTGCCCCCCAACAGCTGGCTGCAGCCCCTGCAGCATCAGCTAGGCTTTGGCAGTGACAGAAGCTGGGCAGA